AGAGTGAGTGTTTTTTAAGAAGTTATTTAAACTACTTGTTTAAATAAGATTTGGTTGTTGGGCAATTCACAGATTGGGTAATGAGCAGACAGAGAAAGTGACGTTAATAACTCTTAAATAACCATGTTGAGGAATGGCTTGTGTATTAGGAAGCTTAGCGCTTAATGCTTACAGGAGGAAGTAACCTAGTTGAATCTAATCTGATTACCTGAAATAAAGAAAACCAGGGAGAGTTCCCATTCCTACTCCTGTTCTGACAGAGGTCTCCCTACAGCTGTGAGGATAATATATCAACCTGTGAAATGCCAGTGGCTATCGCAAGTCTTGATGCTGGCAGATTTCTCTCAAACTGCGTAGAAGATGTGCACTTGGCTTCTTTCTCATCCTTCCTTTCACTAATGCCTGCACCTTGTTTTTGTGGCATCGTGCCTGTCATTTAATCAGAGCCAAAGGAAAAAAAAAAACACCACCCTGTGAACTCACCAGAGTTACCCAAAGCAAGGACTGTGTTACCGGTGTGAAGAGCTGAGGTGGGCTGGGATATAGGCTGTGCCAAGCAGTGTTTTGTTGGGGGAATGAGTGATTGGAGAAGCCTGTTGACAGTTCTGGGCTCTAACATACTGACTGGTAAAAGGCAGATGCTTGTGCAAGGGTGCCATTAACTGAGTGGTCAGAGTCAACCCCTGGGCAGGTCCTTGACAAAAAGGAGGGGGTGCAGTCCTCTTGCCTGATGAAGGTGAAAGGGTCCTTCAAGCCTTTGCTCTCCTAGAGGCAGACAGGAGCCTGGCAAGATGCTGGGGACAATGAAGTGAGCCACAAAGAGCAAAATGGCAAACTTGATTAGATAAGCAATACCAAATATATTTTTCCTTTGCTTCCCTTACCCTAGTTATATCCCTTGATGCAATTTGTGGTGAACGTTACCATATTCCTGTGCATGCCCCAAGCATTAGACTGTATGGAATAAGGGTAGCATGAGCTGGCTTTGTAAGTGTTGCAGTTCATATCTGTATTTAACAAATTGCATTCTTTCAATGGATCTAAAAGTAGAAGGGGTTTTGTCTCTGTTGCTTTTTCTGTTTATGGAATTTGCAGGAAAAATAGAACTGGAAAGAGCAAAATACTCTTGAGCAATGCATTACCTGTGATAGAATTTCTGTAGCAGGGACTGCAAAGCTAGCCAAAACTGGGGGTGGAGGAAAATGTAAATGCTACAAGTTTTTAATGTGTTTATTAAGCATAGAAATAGTAGTTCACTAGGGTATGAAATAGTACTATTGATTATTGAATTATCTTTTTGTGAATGATAAATCAATGCTCAGAGGTTTGATAGCTGTCTAACATTTCAGACCAGTCCTCTGCCAACTTCAACCCAGTCACCAGAAAGCACCATGGATACCTCACTGAAAAAAGAGAAGCCAGCCATTTTGGATCTGTACATACCACCTCCACCAGCTGTTCCATATTCTCCTCGGTATGCAAATAAACATGCCCTACTGAACAAAAAACTCCTTTATTACACTTGTTTCTGAGCTGGTTTGCTGTTAGAGCTCTGTGCAGATTAGCTTGAGGAAACTGCAGATCTCACAGACTTTCTTCTAGTTGCTTAAATGTATAGGATTGCTTAAGCTTATGCATAAATGCATAAACTACCAGGATCGTAATAGGTTTTATTATTAGTAGATTATTGTGTGCCACGTAGATGAGAGTTGTTCCCGAAACACGAATGAATGTCATCCCTCATTTTGTTGTGGGGTTATGTTTTTCATTTTGTTTAAATCTGCCTGCACATAGCAAGAAGTCATTTTTGTCTGTAACATTTTCCACTGTTTTTTTGTTGTTGGTGGTGGTTTTTTTAAAGTTCTTTAAAGTTAAGTAACTGTTGTGGGAGTTAGGATAGAAAAGAATTTGTTTAAAATTGTTAAACTTGCAAGTTGTATAAAACAGGAACATTCCCACTGAAGGGAAGGGAGAGTCAATTAATTCAACTTTATTTTTTTATCCTGCAGTGTAAGCTATAAAAATGCAGACCTGTGTACACAAAAGGTGGGGGTGGAGTGGGTGTATGGTATGGCTAGCTTTTGTTTGTTCTCAAGTCCATGTTGACTCATGCCAGAACCCTGCCAACTGACCTGGGAAGGTGATAGACAAAAAAGTTTTCGGGCAAGGCATGCTTCCTGGCCTGCCCTGACACTTTAGGTTACATGTAGATAGCCCAGCACAGAAACTCTTGACCTTTTGCTGCAGGACTCATGTAGGAGAAGAGCTTCCCTCCTGTCATATAAGGCCTGATACAGAGACAGAGGTTGTATTACTGCAGTCTTTGGGGCAGTACCAGGGCCAGGGGAGAGGGTTTCTCCAAGGTAGGGTCCCTTTACTGAAGTTGAACCCACCTTGACCTGTTTGCTCCCTCTTTTTTATTTTTGTGCATGCTCAGTTCTTAAACAAACAAACAAAAAAACCCATCCGGTCTCTTGGCATAAAAACAAACATATAGATTTAGCAGCTGAGTTCAGAATGCCTTGGTCTTTTCTTTAAATCGTTACATTTCAAGCACATTGGTGAATTATGTGCATGTGCTCAGTTTGTTTATCTTTGTTTATCTTTCCTAAAGAGTCACAAAATTATATTTAGCTTCCAGATGCCTTTAGACCTGAATCCCTGTTGACAAGGAAGGAAGTAGCAATACGAGCTGCAGAACTTGTCCTGGATGATGTGTGGAAAGGGGAAGGCTTCTTGACTTTGACTTTTAAAGGAAGCAAACATTGGAAGCTGTGGCAGGCAGGACGAGGAGGAAGGGCAGTTCTTTTGCCTTCTGTTTGGCTATTTAATTTCACCTCTGCATGTTTTACTCTTTTTTTTGAGAGTGTAGTGCGTTTATGTGGTCATTTCTTTTTTTCCCCCTCATCATCCTGTTCGGTTGCCTTCCTGGCATGGATCTTCTCTGGTCCACACTGGGGAGGCAGAGAGCAGTGGCTGGTTTCCCTCCCCATGGCACAGTCTCCACATGGTGGTGTTGTAGGAAAGCTCTCCGCATCCATATGGTTGTAGTGTAACACGTCTGTGCAGTTTTCGGTCCCTGAGCTGCCATAAATAGCTCCTTCCCATTCACTGAGCTCTAGCATTGTTCTTGATGGAGAGCCGGAAAAAGTGGTATGCATTGGCCAGGAGGCTGTTGTGAATACTGGGCTATGTATGGGCTTAGACAGATGTGTATTTTTATGCCTGACTTGGCAGATGGTTGCTTCAAGCAATAAGATTGTAGCGTGTACAGGGAAGGGGTAAAAAAAAAAAGGCAAATGTTAACTTGGAGGGTAGCTTTTCTTCCAAAAGTACTCACAAGGACTGGTTCTAAAAAATGGCTGTTCCTGGCTTTTGGAATGAGGGATTGCTCTGTGAAGGGAGTTCCTGCAGAAATTGCTCAAAATCATATGTATATAACTATGAATTTATTACTGAAGCTCTCGAGGGGGTCTCACTTTTGGATGGACAGAGAAGGTGATGAATATTCAGTGGTGGTTATTGGGCTCTTACAATGACTGAAAAGCATAGTCCTTCAGATGGAGGCGATAGGTGTTGCCATTACACAGAGATGGATAAATCTATGTGTGCACTTCTCTGTCACAACTGTGTACTGAACAGGCAGTGAATTGGGAGCTTTGATACACTCAGGGCAGAAACGTCTCATTTCTCAAAAGCTTTTTCAGCGGTGGTACCTCTAAACTTCTCTGTGTGTTAAATTACTGGCTCATTAAAAGTGAATTGGCATGAGGGGGGTAGCTTTCTTTTCTCCTTGGTAAATATGTTTATAATGAAGACTTCCATCACCTGACTTGGATTTTTTTTTCAGCTTGTTTGGAGGACAATGCCGCTTGTCAGGAGCATGACTGGGTGCTAGAAGTATCTTTCAAACCTATTCATGTCTGTAGCGTGAAACTCTTTTAAGCTACTAACTGAAGTGAAAATGTCCTTTCAGAGATGAAAAGGGGAGTTTTGTATATGGAGGAGGCAACAAACCCAGTCAGCCACTACCTGGGTCCAAGGGTGCTGAGTCTCCCAATTCTTTTCTGGATCAGGAGAGTCGAAGGCGAAGGTTTACTATTGCTGATTCGGATCAGTTGCCTGGGTATCCCATGGAAGCAAATATCCTACCAGCCAAGTTGAGGGAAAAAACACAGTCCTATGGTGAGTTCATTCCTCTTTCATTATTGCTGTTATGATAAATCCTTTGGTCAGTTTGGAATAATTTGTGTGAGAAAACTGCTCATTAGACTTGATGGATATTAAGAGCAGTCTGTGCAAATTGTGAATGTGAATGAAATTCCATATCTGAAATAATTTCACTTAAATGCTGTTATTTCTTTAATGAATGTCACTCAGCTGGGCTCTGCTGCTACGGATGGCCATCTCCACGTGTGTTTTGGTTATAACTTTTGGTCATTATGTCCACTGCTGCTGTAAATGAGCAAGAGTGTGGCTGTTCAATCTCAGCACATTGCTTTCTTATATTTCACCAATGGAAGTATCTTGAACTATTTTTGTTCTGCAATTTTAACTCTTTATTGCTGTATCTCTCCCTTTGCTTAATTGCAAAAATGTATCAATTTAAAAATTGGTTTCCTAAACTTAATGTAATTCCTCATAACTTTCTATATTGCCTTTAGGAAAACCTCGTCCTTTGTCAATGCCTGCTGATGGGAGCTGGATAGGAGCTGCAGAACCCTTCTCTAGGCCACGAGCACCAGGGAGAAAAGGCAAGGTTTTAGGTCTCATCCCTCTTTCTCTTTTCTTCCTCTTCAAAGTTTCCTTGGGGTGAACTGGATGGAAATGTTTAAATTAGGAATGGAGGATTAGTGCTTGCATATTGCTGAACTGATCCAGGAATGCTAGATGGTAGCTCTGAAATTTGTCTTAGAATTCTTGTGAGCGTTAAAAGTAGGCTAGAATGACTAGGGCAGATGTGTACTTGTCACTTTATAGGAGAGGTTTACTATCTTGCTCTTACATACACCCCTTTCCCTTTCTTCTGTATTTAATATTGATCATAAAACTGCTTTTTTGATAAGTCTTTCTGTTTGTTTAGCTCACTGTGGAGGCTGGTGTAGAAGCAAGCTTGTTCTCAAAAGTAAAATGTAGGGCCTTTTAGGAGTTGCTTTTTGCTGTGACTGCTGTTAGAAAACAACATATTCTGCAGATGTCACAGGATGGGAGAGAGGCAGAAGCTCATAAAGTTGGATGTTAAGTTGGGTGGCTTCTTTCCTTCCCCCACTGCCCTTCTCTCCCTCCTCCACTTTTGCATGTGAAAGGCTATGAGTCCATTAGAGTGGGAAATAAGAAAGGATGACTATTTAGTTTATTCTTGAAATCAGTTATGAAAGCTAATGTGTAATTCTAGGGAAAATAGAAGCTGAATTCTATTATTTTAATGCAAAAATAGAAGCTGATAACAAGGAGCATCAGCCTGGAGGGATATTAGAAACAAGCTAAATAACAAGTCTGACTGAACGATCACCAGGTGGCAGGGCTGGGTTTTGTGTGTATGGTTTTTTGTTTGGTTTTGCTTTTGGTTTTGTGTTGGCTTTTTTTAACACCTGAAATGTACGTAAGTGTTGCAGGCTTGTACGTAAGCTGTACTGGGTCAGAACACAAGCCTGTCTAGCCCAGTAGGGTGTCTCTAGCAGCAGCCACTAGTCAGCTG